TTCAAACCCACCAGCCACTCCTCAGAAGGAAGGTTGGGCAATCTACTTCCGTAGTGATACCGCCTTGGAAACCCAAGGAGGGGTCGCTATGAGTCAGGTCTGACTCTACAGCACATAACAACAACATATAGCAACAAATACATGCAGTGAAAACATGTAGTAAGATGCGTCCCTGAGTAAATAATATTGTATCAATGTCAAATTCCAGGTTTAGACCATGTCGGATATTATTTGGGGAAACTTTGTACAGAGTACTCAGAAACTCTATAATTTTTTTGTGATTTCTTGTGAGTCAAAGTATTTAAAAAATAAAACATAATGATGATTTAAAATAAAAAATGAGAAGGAACAAAGAGTTTTGGAAGTTCCAGGGACAGATAAGGGGACAATCAGGTAATTCAATTTCCTAGAACTAAAAGTTATTGAGATTAAGACAGATTCAACCTAGAGATAGGATACTAAACTTGACATCTTTTCTTTATCAGGGGTTTTGGTCTTGGATCTCTTCTTACTCCTCTTGGGGTGGGAGAGAGGACTCTGGAATCTGCCCAGAGCTAAGGTATAAAGGTTACTCTGGTCCTTTTCTTGACAGGTGGAGAGAAATCTGAGGCCAGTACTATTCTGACCTTCCCTATCTCACATGCACAAACAAAAAGAGTGATTCTTCTCAGCTTTGGGGCCTCTGTTGGATCCCGAAAAGTGATAGCAAAGGAGTGGAATAAGTCAGAGCAATGAGGCAAGCTAGATAGATACACAGCATGGGGAAGGTGCACTTGGGAGATCATAAATTCTCCATATTACCTGTGGGCCTTAGTATTATAATTTCAGCACCTTCATTTTTCATCTTGTGCTTTTCATGAAACAAGACATTTTGAGAGGAGTGAGAATAAGGAAAAACAAAACTGCAGCTGGGTAGTTTTAGGTATATATAATTGATGGTTTCCACAATTAGATGGATGTGTTCTCAGCTCTTCCTAAGAAACAGGACAACACACCCACATTCGTTACCCAAATGCCTATTGGAGATGATGTTTTGTTGTTTCTAGACATTCACCTGACTTATGGACCAATAATAGCCTTTTTTTTTTCCTGCTCATTGATAATTTGATGATCGTTACAACAAACCTAGGAGCTCTGATAGCATAGTGAGTAAGGCACTTGACTGCTAACCAGAAGGCTGGCGGTTCAAATCCCCCAGCCACTCCTCGGAAGGAAGGTTGGGCAATCTACTTCCGTAGTGATACTGCCTTGGAAACCCAAGGAGGGGTCGCTATGACTTCGGTCCAACTCAATGGCACATAACAACAACAACAACAATAAACCTGGTATCTGAAGAATCTTACTTCAGAGAGGCATTCACTTACATTCACTATGTTTTAAGAGTAGTTTCTTTATAGTATGGCTGTGGGGAAAAGGGAAGGAGCCTGGTGGTGCTGTGGTTAAGGCATTGGGCTGCTAACCAAAAGGCCAGTGGTTAGGACCCACTTGCTACTCTGCAGGAGAGAGATGAGGCAGGCTGAAATCCTACGGGCATCACTATGAGTCAGAATCGACTTGATGGCAGTGGGTTTGGTTTAGTTTTTTTTAGGGAAAGCGATGATTTTTCATCCCACCCTTTTCCTGCAGGTAGGAACAAAATCACCCTGTTTCTGAGGCCAAGCACAAACCAAGCCTCTAGAAAGAACACTGAGTAAAGAACAAAAGATTATTTTGGTACAGCAAAGCTCAGGAATAAGTGAGCAATCACCCTTCCTGGTGTGCAATATCTGATTATACACTTACAGATGAATGTAATTACACACCTTTCAGTGCTCACATTGCTGCTTAAAGTGTGGTCCCTGACAGGCAAATTTTCGTCTCCACCTGGAAGTTTAAAATGTGTTCATGCTGTTGTATGCTGTCAAGTCGATTCCAACTCATGGCGACCCTATGTGACAGAGTAGAGGTGCCCTAGAGGGTTTCCAGGGTCAGATTGTCTGGTCCTTTCTCCTTGGAGTCGCTAGGTGAATTCAGACCTCCGACCTGTTGGCTAGCAGCTGAGCACTTTAGCCACTGCACCACCAGGGCTCCTTATCATGTGTTCATAGCATATATACATATTAAGAAATTTCATTCTATTTCTAGTTTTTTTTTTAAATTGTGATTTAGGTTAAAGTTTACAGAGCAAATTCATTTTCCATACAACAGGTCATACACATTTTGTTTCATGACATTGATTGCAATCCCCATAACGTAACAACTCTCTTCCCACTTACTTCCTGTGCTTACT